TAATTTCCTTCGTACATGAACATTTCCACTGAGTTTGCTTCTGCGACAAAAGGCCTATGATCGGCCTGCACCACCTCTGCTTCGCCCTTGTCATTCCAAAAAACTAGGCACTGATGGAGCGATGAAGGTATACAGTGACTTCCGTGTATCTAATCTCTTCCTAATAACTCATTGTAACTAGTGGGACCATCTATTACAAAGAAGATTGTGGTCCTAGTAGTTGTTCCATAGTTATGTCCAATGGCATAACCCCTTTAGCTGAAGTCGCTCCTCCATTGAAACTTGTCAGGATGACTTCCGTTGGGATCATATCATCTTCTGTCTTTGCGAATTTCCTCATCATCCTAGATGGAATGGTGTTTATAGTTGCTCCATTATCGACAAGCACTTTTGCCACAGGTATGCCGTTAACTAGAGCTTTAACGTACAATGGCTTCAAGTGTTTGGTCAATTTCATGGCTGGTCGCTTGAAAATAACTTTTTCGACAGTATCTATTTCCACTTCCTACTTGTCCTCTGTCGAGTTACCCTTTTGTGATAAGTCAACGTGCAGTATATTGCACTGAGCCTCTGTCTCCTGAATTTCCTTTTTACTGTTTTCTAATGCTTCTTCTCAGTTACCCAACCTGTGGGAGGAGGCATTATTCTTGGAGGTGATCCATACTTTTCAAAGCGAGGCACTCTCTTCTTCCTTTTGGGAGTCCCGTATAGCACGTAAATATCGAAGGAATGCCCAGATGGTTCTCCCAATAAGTCTACTTCACGAACTCCCTCTCGATGTAATAGCTTCAACAGATTATTGTACGATACTCCTCTTCTTCTTCTTTCTGCTTCCAGATCGATTTCATCTTCGATGTCTGTCATACCATCATCTTCTTCATCATTATAGGCCTCTCTAGAAGTTTGGCCTTCTTCATATTCCAACATGTATACTTCCTCTTCGTTATCCTCCTTTTCTTCTTCTCCCTTCTCTTTATTCTTGAACTTATTGGCTAGTAAATAGTTATTAGCCACGACAGGAGGTAACATACCAAACTAAATAGTAAGGGGTTGATCTGGATCTTCTCCATCCCTTCTATCTCGCTCAAACTTTGACCTCCCAGAAGAAGTCTCTGACAATTCTTCCATAGGTTCGCCTATACCAGTCTCTTCACTGTCTTTGAGAACATTTTGATTGGCTGCCTCGAGTAGTCTAGGTGCCTTAGGACGTAGCATTCCCTATTGTTGCCTCATCATTCGCCCATAGTTCCGTTGAAAACTCTTTTGTTGGGTTCCAGTCATCTCGTTGTAAGGTATCGCCCTTCCACCCTTATACTAAAACGAATGTTATACATTTGGTTGGCGAGGTTGCGGTCTGAATGTTCTCCCATTATTTATTGGCCTGAACTGCCTCTCAAAAGGCAGTCCCTTATAGAACGATGTACCCAACTCTCTACCAGGCTGAGCGTTTGGGAAAAAATTAGGGCGATGGTGATGCTACCATATCCCTGGTTTCTCTGCATTTGCACTCACTTCTTTTTTGCATCTTGCACATAGAACGCCTTTGTCCTTTTTGGGCTCCTTCCCTTTGATACGTTCAAAGATATTGGGATGTGGTACAGGGTCTTCTTCTCCATCATCTATAACCAACTTGAATTTTGATAACTTATTTTTGAAACCAGACGTCACCATGTCACTCCAAGTGGCTGTGGAAAAGGATTTTCATCCACTGCCATCTTCATCTTATCCTCGAACGTAATTCGTCCTTTTTCAATGGCATCCTGTAACACATGACGAAAAACCAAACAGTTGTTAGTCAAATGTGACCATGCATTATGCCATTTACAATATTTTTTACTCTTAATTTGTTCAGGGCTTGACAATTTATGCTTATCGCTCAACTTTATCTGCTTATCCTTATATAAATTATCAAATATAAGGTCAGTTTTGGTTTCATCGAACGAGAACGTTCTAGCCTTTATGTTTTCATCTTTTATAGGCTCATCTTTGCCCGACGGCCTAGGCTTAGCCATTATAGGACAAGTATACGTGTCTCCTTTAACTAATTCGGCCAAACACATTTCGATTTGATCGTAATACTCGTCATTAATGGTATGAACATCAAAATTTGGGTCTCTATAATAAGTCCCCTTGCTAGAATTCTTCATTTGTTCTTCTTCTCTTATTAATCGTTCATACCTAATCACGTTCACGCTCAATTAGAAAAGATCAAGAAATTCCTTATCTTGGAACTTCTTCTTCAAATCAAAGGTTAGACAACCTTGAGCGATTTTGACAAACTCTTTTTCGGGCAAAGGTACAAAACATTTACTTCTTGTTGTCTTGAACCTTTGAAGGAAACCTTCTGTCCATTCGTTTGGCATTTGACGTAGATTCGCCAAATTGGCCAAAGTAACTTCAGACTCAGTCTTATAAAACTGAGCGTGGAACAATTGCTCCAATTGTTGCCATGTTTGAACAGAGTT